TCAGCACAACTGAAGCTGGTTGACTCTCTGCTTCTACTCTAAAACTATTGAGCCTCTTATGTTATCACAGGGTTGTGATTCAGTTCCCCGAAACATCACCAACAAACTGATTATTATCTTATCACATGAACAGTCGTGCACACGCTTGCCCAGCTGTGCTGTTTTACTCTCAAAACCAAACGTCAGGAACTTATACGTGAACTCAGAGGCTCGTGAGAACTTTGACCTCTGAAACACGTGGACGCTATTCCTGCATCTGTGTCTGCACGGCTTTGTGCATGTGCCAAATAATTCTCTGAAGCCGGTAAGACAGAGGAAACAGGAAGTGACCTGACCACACAGGAACGCAGAACTAGATCACCTTGTTCTTTGAGGTCTGCAGCGGTACTGAAAGCAGCTCTGGCAGCACTCGTAGCACAGACGGCAGCAGCCTCATGATGGACGGACCGGCAGTGAAGTAAACGACGACATCAGAAGAAAAACGTTTGTGTTTGTAGCAAATGTGAAAATTTAAATACAGACGTCAGTTTTTTGTCTTCATTAGTCACAAAATAACTGATGTGAGCTTAACTGGTTGTGGCTCAGACGACTTACAGGCGGAGTTGTAATGTACTGTCTGGCAGGGCCTGATCTCCATGTTTGCTGTGTATGTGTGTGTATTCATATCTTTGTGGGGACCAGAGTTTGAAGGCATGTCTGAGACTCAAAATGTGGTTTTAGTGTCAGGGTTACAGTTGGGTTATGTCAGTTAAAAGTCCCACAAGATATGAATCCCCGACATGTGTGTGTGAGTTTTATTTATGTGCTGAGATAATCTGCCCAGTTCAGGTTTATTACGGCCGACTCCTCCAAATCCCCAAAAACGTTCAGATGGAGCTGAAGGAAACCCCGCCCGTCCTCAGTGACTCGTTGCTCGCTGTGTTAGCTTCTAAACATCAATTATTTGATGTTTAGAAGTATTTAGAATTATTTGGCACATGCACAAAGCCGTGCAGACACAGATGCAGGAATAGCGTCCACATGCTTCAGAGGTCACAGTTCTCACGAGCCTCTGAGTTCACGTATAAGTTCCTGACGTTTGGTTTTGAGAGTAAAACAGCACAGCTGGGCTAGCGTGTGCACGACTGTTCATGTGATAAGATAATAATCAGTTTGTTGGTGATGTTTCGGGGAACTGAATCACAACCCTGTGATAATATAAGAGGCTCAATAGTTTTAGAGTAGATGAAGCAGAAAGTCATCTAACACAGCGAGCCGTTTGCTCGCTGTGTTAGCGGGCGAGTGTACGCCGTGTGCAGAGTGCAGCGGGTTCGAGCCCGGCCCTTCTCTCTCTCTCCTGTCTGTCTAATAAAAATTCCACGAACAATCATCTTTAAAAACAAAGCGTGACTTTTGTGCACGTTGTGTAAGTTTTGTGTTTTTTTCAGTATCATTAGAAATGAATGATTCTTGTTTTGGACGCGCTCATTGGCTTATTGTGTTTTTATTTTATTTTGTTTGTGTTTTCTAATAAATACAAAACACAACAGCGACGCAGAGACAGAAACATTATTATTGAAATAAAAAAAGGAAAAGCTTTATATAAAAGTTCAGATTTTAAAATCTATTCTGTTCGATCTACGAACACAATGCTGATGTCATTATCGGGGATTTCTAAAAAGCCGGCTGACGTCGGCGTGTTTTAGTATCGGCCTTCCCTTCGGGGGGCTGAGCGGGTTAAATATCAAACACAGAAATAGTCAAAGCGTCCTCTGAGCTCGATGAGCTCACCATCAGCCTGCTGCTGTTACTCCATCTGATTAACGTGTGATCTCCACACCGTCAACATGCTTCACGCTTAAAAGTCTAACTCCTATAACTAGTTCACGTTCTCATTCTTCTGGATTTCAGAATAAAAGACTTATTTATAAATATGTTCCCGTGCGTTGCATGGTCAGGTGACTCGTGAGGTCGAGTAACTGCTTCCTGTTTCCATCACTCGAAATGAATACAGAATTCAAACGTGAACACTTTTAGTAAAACGGGGCAGGTGACACTTTACTACATCACACGATCATCAGTTTGGCACAGATTGACCCTCGTAGACCGATCTCGCTCCATCGTCCCGAGGCTCGCCCGGACCCTCCTCATCCCCTCTGATCCCGTTTGCTGACTGTTACTTGGAGGTTTGGAGCGAGTCCAGCTGACAGGACTTATCCGTCGAGCTGAGCGGCACATCTTTAAGATGCTCTCACAGCCACTTTGGAAGATTAAGTGTGGAGCGGCCAAGACGGAGGATCGAAGCTGAGAGACCAGCTTGTTGTATCCGACTGATCTACAGGCTGGACCGGCCGTGTTGGACCATCGAGGCCTCTCCACGAGACGAGTCTGAAGACGCTCTGTCAGAATTGATATTAATCTGAGAACAGAGAGGCCAGCTGCCGCTCAGAGCTGTGGCTGCAGTGAAATTACATATAATGTGGTCACTGAATGCTGTTGGAGATGGAGTCCCTCTGTCACCCCTCACCTTACAGCGGCAGTGGAAGTGGGTGTGGCCAAGGCTGAATTGCTAATCATTTACACCTGAGGATAAAGGTGCGCCGGAGGCCGGCTTGGGGAAGCTGCTTTTAAAGCAGTTTGAAATAAAAACAACATTTCTGGTCATAACAGAAGGATTACAAACTAGTCGCAGTGTGGCTGGTATTGAACTCAGAGGGGGAAGGACCAGTATAAAACCAGTATTTGTAATAAAACCTCGAGGTTCTGACGCTCTGGGCCGTTGACAGGTGAAAACATTAGACTAACAATAAGGAGGTCGTGTTTAAAGAGGCTCAGTGTGAGGAACCAGGAATCCTCTAATGAACAGAATCAACCTTATGGGATTTACTTACCTGGATGACTGAGCGTGCATAAAGACAAATGTTTGATATATTTGCAACATGCGCTTCGGTTCAGACAAAGGCTTAAAAACGTTCCCAGCAGCCCCGGCGTCTTACCGCAGCATGCAGATGTACTGGCCGGTGTCGGCGGTGGCGGCCGGCTGCAGAAACAGTCTCTCTCTGTCTTTGCTGAGCCGCGAGCTGCAGAGCAGGATGACATCACGAATGAGTGAACGTAAATCAGACGCGACTCAATTAGAACAACATTAGAACAAAGTCGGCGAGGCGGATCGAGCCGCCTCCCAAACACCATACGTCCTCTCTGGAAGGGAAATCGTTACAGCCCACTTCATCATTCAGCTCCTCTCAAAGTGTCTCAATTAGACACAACCCCCCATCTGCTTTAAACTCAACCAGGCTCATCTGTAATCGATCACATCGGCTGTTTATTCTCCAGAAAACATAAAGTTTATATAGAAATAAACCTAAACCCTTGAACTGGAGCAGTGGAAACCTGCGGGGCAAAAACATGAAGCCGGTTTTGGTCCTTTGGCTTCAGCTTCCTTCTAAACTTCCCCTGAAAATGACACCGACGCGTTAATGCGACGCAAACACGTCTGGGGGTTACCTGTACGTGATTGGCTGCTCCAGGTCGTGGCCCTCGGGGAGGCGGTACCAGAAGAGGTTGTGCCCGGCGCTCTGGGTGGAGGTGTAGTTGTAGACGGAGGGATGAGAGAAAAGAGGACAGGAGAGCCAACCGACCTCGCCCTCCACGACAGAGACCGCCCCCTCGCTGGACTCGCCCCAGTCGTAGCACATGGGCTCTGAGAGGAACATTAAAGGAACAGTTCAACCAAAGCATCGGCGTGCAGATCACACCAAACATTCAACTGATGAACTGATGAGTGAACAGGAAGAGGAGTTTGTGGGGGTTCTTCCTCTCTGGATCAGGATGCTGCTCTGATTCTTCTGCGCGAATTAAACAGAGCTTAGTGGATGTCATCGTTAACTGGCCTTGTTAAAGGACGCGTCCGCCTCATTAAAGGATTAAAGCACAGAGGGCAGCTGCTGCACTGCTGAAATTAAACTGCTTGCAGCGGTTATTAAATTTGGTGCAGAAAGCTGCACAGAGCGAAGGACAAAGAGCCGAGCGTGTAAACAGATGGCTGATAGGATGGAGGCACAGACTCAGAGATTTCTGACCCCGACCTCCAGGCTCCGAATATCCCAGCGTCCAGCTGGGAAACACAGACATCAGCATCTGGCACTCAGACAGACACAGATTATCATGACTGCAGCCTCACATGTCCACAGCCCACTGAGACCTTTTTTACTTCTTTAAAGTTAGTGTGGGAACCAGATTATGTAACACAGAAAACATTTGTTGTGGCTTTT